TTCTTTCTTGACATTTACTAGACATCTATTACCTCTTCCTTGGTACCAGTAGCTATATTTTTAAAACCAAATTCCAATAAAACACATAAGGGCTTCCATTGAAAAAAGCAGAAAAGTATTCTGGACAGTTTAAAAGTTTTGCAAAATGAACATGCAATACCAACTACAATAGAGTATCTCTAGCTAGTCTTGAGGTAAAGGGTGATATCTTTTACAACACTTTTATTTAAAAGTACTTATTTATTTTGGATATGAATGTTTTATCATGCCATACCTTGGTACTGAACAGAGAACTCAGCAGTTCTAGACTCCAGGACTACCTCATTTTAAGTGCTCAGAACCCATGCACCACATGTATTTCATGCAAGATTCTCTTGATTTTCCATTCCCAGCTCTAAAAGCTATTACATATAATGTACCATATTAAATCTTCCTATAAGATTAGTTCTTATTATTTAGAAAACTTCGTACTCAGTGTGTTTGTCATTCAGTTGGTTAAATTTAGGAGATATCATTTCAGTGATTAAGTCCTTGGTCAGGAATGTGTGTACCCTAACATTGTTTTTATTAAGGAAATTACCATTCCCAGGAACTTAACCCTACATATACAGCAAACTATATATATTTTAAGGCACTAAGTTTGTATTTTTTAAACTGTTAAGTAATCTTGAAATCAAAATTATTGAAGTCAAATATAATAAGAAATCTTGATTTAGTAATATACTACTGCTTATATGCCCTTTCAATTCTTCCTTGTCCTCAGATTAGGTTGTGAAAAAAATACTGTCCTTCTGAAATATTCAGAAGATGTCAAAAACACCATTAGGAAGCAGAACTGCAAAGAAATGTCTTCAGATGCTCTGAATAGATCTGATATTTTTAATATATGTTTTACTAGGTGTCCTAAGACAGTGGAAAACTTCTGTGTTCACAGCAGAAATGGTTATTATAATGGACATACATTTCACCGTATAATTAAGGTAAGTTATGCAAATTTTATGATTAAGGAGTAGTATGTTATTGCACAAGAGGTTGAAACCTAAGAATCTTATTCTCTCATGCTTAGTTTACTAGAAAGGAATAGGAAAAATGGACTACGGAAGCCCAAAGAATGGTCATGAATATCAGATCTAGAATCAAGAAAGGGGAATAGTAGCAGTTACCTTTTTAAAAACACTACAGCAATATTTTGTCAACAGCTGAAACAGGGTCAGATCAGTAAAGGGTCATGCTAAGATAAAACCAATAGCCAAAGTAATCTGTTCCTAGTGGCTAACGTTTAGATCTAGAAGATAAGATTTTAAATAATAGAAGAGCCCAGATGCCGCCTAGTCTGTAAGAACCACCATTAATACTTGAAGAGCAGAATGAATTCTGCCTAGGATTTGTTGAGCATCATTCCATTAAGGGGGCAGTGATGTAGTTCTTGGTTACTGACAGGTTAGAAATGGCAAGAGGAAAAATCAAATTTCAGAGTTTTGGAGGAATTAGTGAAATGAAATCCAGAAAATCTGGAGTGTTTAGGG